TGACTCTGCCCTAAAAGCTTTTTTCACCGATGGGATTGTAACGTAATGACGTCCTTGCCTAGACAGAGGCATCTTTGCTCGCTGTTTCCTTGAGTATAGTAAGAAGGACAAGCGTTAACACTCTGGGATGCTGTTCTTCTCATGATGGCTTGCGAGCCTTCTCCCCACCCAAGTACCAGCAATGTGGGCTCTCAGAAAGGAGACCATTTACTTGCCCTGTTGTCAGCGCATCTGGAAGCCTTGTCAAAACAATATAATTTTACTTTGTAACTTTTTGACATTGGTATTTATTGCACCTGTCTTTGGGCATGATTTATGACCTGTCTGGTGAATATTTCTCCTCAAGTTGGAGTTTACAATATGAGATAAGTGAACCATTTAAAGGTCTGCGTATGCTTCAAAATGGCAAATGGACATTTTGCATGTGTCCCTCACCTTCTCTCCTCCCTCTCAGCTTCATCATCACCACCTAAACGGCCACTGTGATACACCTTTCACTCAGTTCTTCAGAGAAAAATAGAAGAGAAAGATTATGTAAGACTACATTTTCCACAATCTCTTTTGCAGGGGAATTATGTGTCAATACATTCTAATGAGTGGCAAGAAAATTCACCATAGGGGAGGCATCCAATGGAAAACATGTGCTTGTTGTCAGGAGGGCCCAGTGACCTTTTGTCTTTGTAATGATATCCTGGCTGGGACTCATCAATGTTTCTACCTATCACCAGAAAACTCATTTCCCATTGGCAAAATTGCGCATATTTGTAAAGCAGCCCTTCTAATTAAATTGCTTAACTAGGCTGCAATCAAGAAAACTTTCTTTCCTTGACTATCCCCTCTGGGTCTTGGTATTAATTTACAATTGTTTAGCAATTCTCCTTAATCGCATAAAGTACATACTCCATATATGTTTTTGTGTTTTACGTTTTCATAATAAAACATTTTAAACCCTTCAATTTTTATTCTCCAAAGTTCATATGAACATGATTTATTGGGAAGAAATTTCCATAATTAAAATTTCCATAAGTTTATTTCCATAAAATCTAACTTTTTTCAAAAAAGTTTTAAATACGGAAACAGAATCTGTTTGTTTCCTCGGACCTGCAAACTTTCTCTTCATAGAAACTTATGGAAAACTCTATCATCTTAAAATAATATTAAATGGGATTTGTGTCCTTGTACAGGTGTGAAATTTTTGCATTTAAAAATTAAGGAAAAAATTAAAATGGAAAGCCTTTATATGATAATTTATAGTTTCCTCTTTATACATACACAATATTCATATGCAATGTATATGTCTCATTTTAAATTAGTAATGCTTTTGTACACTTCTGAGGTGTACCTAAAAACTCACAATTGTTTACCGTGTCATTATATTATTTTAGACCAGTGACAGTTGGCATCAGCTTTTACAAGTTCCCCCTACATTATTTAATCAGATAGCAAATATACACTTTAATGTATCTAGTCTGTTAATTAAATGTACTTCAAAAATTCATTAAAAAGTCACTAAATCTCATATAAGCTGACCTTCATTCACTGAAATATTTTGATTTAACAATTGAGAACTCTGACACTGTTTTTTGTTTTTGTTTTTTAAGTAGGCTCCACATGCAGCATGGAGCCCAACATCGGGCTTGGACTCATTCCTGAGATTGAGACCTGAGCTGAGATCAAGAGTCAGATGCTTAATGGACTGAGTCACCCACGTGCCCTTCTGACACAGTTTTAAGTGGATAATCAATTCAATTTTTATACACCAGTAATTCGGACAAAAATGCTACCTTGAAAAAACATTATTTCTTTTCTCTGCTAAATCCCTAAAGCTGCAGCATTTTGTTGTTGTTGTTGTTGTTGTTGCTGTTGTTTTGGTATGTAGGCAATAGTTTCTTCAGCAAGGAATCCCATATGTCTGAGCTCCTCGTGTTCCTTTACTGCTCCTCTCTTCAACAGTGTCCCAAATTTTTTAACATTTTAACCCAGAAGTGATAATCTAACCCTTTAATAATTTTTGTTGTACTCCTTTGAATTCTCTCAAACTTCTTAATATCACTTATTTGTCACTTCTGTTGTTGTGTGGGACCCCAAAAAAGGATAAATCTCTCAGGGTTGAGTGTAGATGGATGATTGTTATGGTTCCTGAATTCAATACTTAGGTAAAAATCAAACCTTAGAGTTCATAGATCGTTCATCTGTCATACAGTCACATTCAGTTTGACTTCCAGATTTTCCTCTGGACAGCTGAGCAAAGACTACTCCTTACCATTTTATTTTGGTGCAACTATGTTTGACTTCTGAGAAAACTTCTGCAACATCTTGGTTTTCAGAAGACAAATGCAAATGAGACAGGGACATGTTTGTGAACTGTAGTACTTCTCTCAGTGCAGTGGAGTATATACCAGTTGTTCTACTCTCAACCCTTGCTGTTTCTCGTTAGTCCACCTCCAATCCGGAAAAAAATGAGAAGTCCTTCTCTGCTCAGTGATACAATTTCCTTCTTGAACCTACTCATCCTTAACAAATTGGAGTCTGCCAATGGGTTGCCAAGCCAGTGACATCAGCACTGGCAGGACATTAAATCGAGATTAGAAATGGCCCCATGACATCATCCTCTTGTTCCTATCGAACAGATGGTTTCTGTATATTGTGCAATTTTAGATCATTATTCATGGTTTGGGTCAGTATAATTCAGGAAGCCAAAAAACTGCCAAGAAAAATTGATCTGGAACCAGTTCAAAGACTCAAAATTATTTTATTGATTAGACGCCTGAGTTTTCATTTTCCAGAAGGACATCATGAATCATCAATACATGATAATACCTGAGTCATTTTAGCATTTGTGATGTTTAGAACTTCAAAACAAGATAATCTTTGAAGAGTTAACCTTAAAGAAGCATGATAATGAGATATCTAAGGAACTTTGTTGGGTACAACTGAACTGGGGCCAGAAACTATTGACTGAGGCAAGTGGTTTGTTTGAACTGGATGGTTATTTATTTTCACCTTATACTTGTTGACTTCATATCCTCCCTTAAGCTCAGCCCAGAGACAGTGAAGAGGTATGTTTTAAACAAGCCAGACAGGAAGCTGTTTTGAAAGGCCTTGTTCAGGCATCATACCAAAGCGAGAAGATAAAGCACAGATTTGGCTGGCTGAGGACTTGGAGAATAAAATCATGTTCAAAACAAAACAAAATCGAAATGTGTTCGCAGTAAGCTTTATAAGAGACCACAAACTCATATATGCTTTCCCTAGGAATCTGGAAGGAATTTCAGTAATAATGTGTTTTCTTTAGCATAAGTATTAGCTATTTTTGGTAGATATATCCCATTATATTATCACTGCCACAAGGCAAAACTCTTGTATGGGTCATCGCAACTTTGTTCCTAAAAAAAAAAAATCAGTGCTCTGCCCAAACCTCTATCGATTTGAGCTTCCATCAACCACACTTCCTGCCATTCCACAGTTTCTGATTATGTTACTATCTTAAAATTATTAAGATTCTTATTGCCATCCATTGATTTGGATCTACATTTTACATTAAGAAAATAAGATCTTTGACTCTTTTTGTGTAGGCTACTTATCTTCTTCCAATTTCCTCCAAACTGATATTAGGGATAAATCACATGGTCTTTATGAAGGTGTTCAATCCTTTAATTTTATGTACTTCATATTCATTAGTATATTTGTAACTAACCCATGTAATGTTATACCCATTTTGCAGATGCCTGTAATAATATAACAATGACTTGAAAAGGAAAAAAAAAGAATTCTATGCATTTATAATTTAATCATCACAATGCAAAACTTTGAGTCTTTCTCTCTTGCTGTTTTTTAAATTTCATTTCCAACTCCTGTTGGATAGAAATGCTGGTGGTTATAGGAATCCTCTGAAAGTAAGAAACAATTTCTTACAGGAATGGTGAAAATGTATTCTATGCACTTATGTGAATGAAGCTTTAATCACAGATGATAACAGCAATATCTATTTTTTGTGGCATCATAGCACATCATCCTGTACAGCTACAAGGTACTCCAGACAAAACATGCTGGCAACTTTCCTTTGTCAAAGAAACGAACAATTTAATCATCTTGGTAATTCATCACCCATGCACCTGCCCCCCGCCCCCCAGGATGCTGTACCCAGTGATATAAACAATAACAGCTACATTGAATTCACTTAAGTTCCAGATGAGGTAAGTCTGAAAAAGAAGCAAATATTTAAAATGGTAGTGGTGGGATCCCTGGGTGGCGCAGCGGTTTAACGCCTGCCTTTGGCCCAGGGCGCGATCCTGGAGACCCGGGATCGAATCCCACGTCGGGCTCCCGGTGCATGGAGCCTGCTTCTCCCTCTGCCTGTGTCTCTGCCTCTCTTTCTCTCACTGTGTGCCTATCATAAATAAATAAAAAATTAAAAAAAAGCATTTAAAATAAAAAATAATAAAAAATAAAATGGTAGTGGTGATTGAGGAGGAGGAGTGTAGGAATTATCTAGTAGCTTCTTTAGGTGGGTGCTCTTTTTTTTCCAAAAGGCTGCCCTCGATCTGATGGGAATTGAGCATATGCTTATGAATAAATTTTCTTTTGCTCTTTTATTTTCCTTTGTTTTCATTTGTGGCAGAAAGGATAGTCTGAGCTGGCTTCATCTTTCAGCTCTGTCCCACTCAACACCACAGCTGTTGGAGTTCTTGCTAGAAATGATACCAAGATTTCTTTTTTTCTCTAGGATGTTATGCTTGTCTCTCTGGAATATAGAGATCTTGTGTATTCATACATGTCCTTCCCAAACTTAAGACAGTATGTTTGGATTGTATTTAGGTGGATATGGGCATATTTTTTCCTTCAGCGTGGTTCTGTAGGAGCTGAGTCCTTGCTGTAGCTATCTGCTTTGTGACTACAGAAAGTCCCAGACTTATGATAATTCACTTTTACCATGATGCAAAAATGATACAGATTCAGTAGAAACCGTACTTTGAATTTAGAATTTGGATCTGTTTCTGGTGCTTGCTTTGGCAGCACATACACTAAAATTGGACCCATACAGAGAAGATTAGCATGGCCCCTGCTCATGGATCTGGATCTGTTTCTGGGATAGTGAAATGCACTATAATCCTGTCTCCTGATGCTGGGCATCACCAGCCACACCCAGTCAACCCAGTAATCACGAGGGTATACAGCCAGTGCACGGACAACCATTCTGTTTGTCACTCGCAGTCCAGCGCTCAATCAATTACATGAGATCCTCAACATTTTGTTATGAAATAGGTTTTGTGTTAGATGATTTTGTCCATCTGTAGGCTAATGTAAGTATTCAGAGCATGCTTAAGGTAGACAAGTCTCTGTTGTTGAGTAGGTTACGCGTATTAAGCGCATTTTGGACTCACAGTATTTTCAGCTTTGATGGGCTTATTGGCACGTGATCCCTTTGTAAGTCAGTGAAGGTGGGCATTTATAAACTTGCGTAACTTGAAAGCTGCTGTTTCCTAATTTCCTTGTTTTTCCACTCACATGACAGGTGCTTTTTAGTCCTCAAAACCTAAGGGGCACTGCACAGACACAGATCTTTCTTCCTTGTTTCTGCAGAAGTCGAATCATACAGAATTCTGTAGTAGTCCGGGAGAAATGAAACATATTCCTTAGTTGGTAACATGTTTTGACACCTACACAGTGAGAATAGAAAGAGAAACACACCGAAGAAGAGGTGCACCTGTGAATGATTTCCTCAGAATGCTTTGCTAGAGAGGTTCTAAAGATGTAAAATTCTAGGTTCCAGGGAGGGTTGCTGTGTTTTTATGCCATTTTTCACCCTGAGTACACAGATAAGCTCTCATAGATCCTGCTTGCTGCTAAGCATCACAGTTTGGGGCTTTAAAAAAAAAAAGAAAGGTTAATAGAGAAGTGTTTTATGTCACTTCTTCCATAGATCATTGAATAAATAAATATAAACGGTAATACTTTCCTTCCAGGAGCCAAAGAAAGGCCCTTATATTTTGGAAAGGCCATATTAACAGTCACGTGTCTGTGGAGATTGAAGTATTCTTTTGAATGGTCGAAGTAGATAAAAATTTCATTGCAGGAGGAAACTTCAAAGACATCCTACATTCTATCCTATTATCCAATCCATGTTCAACATATAAAGAGATCTGGCAAAAAAAAAAAAAAAAAAGAAAGAAAGAAAGAAAGAAAGGAGAAAAAAGGAAAGATAGGAGGGAGAGGAAAGGAAAGGAAAGGAAAGGAAAGGAAAGGAAAGGAAAGGAAAGGAAAGGGAAAGGAAAGGGAAAGAAAGGAAAGAAAGAAAGGAAAGAAAGAAGAAAGAAAGAAAGAAAGAAAGAAAGAAAGAAAGAAAGAAAGAAAAGAAAAGAAAAGAAAAGAAAAGAAAAGAAAAGAAAAAAGAAAAGAAAAGAAAAAAGAAAAGAAAAGAAAAAGAAAGGGAAGGGGAGGAGAAGAGAGGAGAGAGGAGAGGAGAGGAGAGGAGAGGAGAGGAGAGGAGAGGAGAGGAGAGGAGAGGAGAGGAGAGGAAAGAGAAGGAAGGAAAGGAAAGGAAAGGAAGGGAAAACGGAGAATGAAAACCAAAACACCACCAAAACTCACCTCTCCTCTTTCTTCAGGACCAACTGCAGCCAAAACATGTCTGCACTGAGGAAAATATCTGCTGCCTCCAGGAGCTTTGATACAATCAAGGCCAGTGAGATGTGCCAGACCCTTTCCCTTTTCCCCAGATGGTGGAGTTTGCTACTTTCACATTTGGCTTTTAATGGACAACCGAGGAAGCCTGCCAGTAAAGCAGCAGAGCAAGCTAAGAAAACAAACAAACAAAAGCAATCACGCCCTAGACATGGAGACCAATGACAGGTATGATTGATCAGGTGTCCAGCTGGAAGCTGTCACCACCAAGTTGAGAGAAAGCAGGCAGAGCTTGGCGTGTTTCACGGGCCAAAGATTATCATGGGGTATTAGGTAGGTAGCATTCTTCAGCAAACAAAGAAATTGAAAGGATGGAGTTTGCTTTGCCTGAGCCCCACGCCTCACAGAGATGCTTACCACATGACTCTCCTTGTATAAGGGATACTTGAAACTAAACATATTATATTTCCTTTTGGAAACCCTTGTTAGACAAAACCATACCACACACCACCATATTCTTCTTTTGTCTGCGTGTTTGTTTTCAAACTAAATACTTGTTCATGTTAAAATAAATGTACATTTTGACATATGATAACTTTAGCAGTGTACAATCCATTGGGAGGCATACTGGAATCCAAAGACTTATGTTTTAATTACGGCATAATTTCCTTGTTGCTTAAATGAGGAAAATAGAAATCCTGTCAACTCTACAGTATTGTCTTTAGAATCAGCTACAATAATACCATATTCCCTTGATTGTAACGTGCCACGGATTATAATAAGGCTCGTAGAAAGCTTTTGACGAAAGAACGCATTTAGCATGTTAAGTAAGCATATTGCTTTTTAAGATTCATCCAATTACTTAAGAAGTATTAAAGTGTAAATAGAAGGTACACGTTGCAATCAAGGAAATGAGATATATGTGAAAACATTTTATAAGCCACAAAGTGCTGGAAACATGTAAGTATAGCTAACAATTAGGTCATAATGAAAACATGTTAATAATACGGAATTATTAATATCTTGCTTGTTATAAAGGTAGTAACTTGAAGGATGCAAAGTCTCCACATACTCAAATTGAACTTGAATTTGCATATACTAAAAAAAAATAGTGAAAAAGAAATCCCTGACAAATTTCAGTTCATCTGAACATAAGAAAGCATCAATTTAACAAATATCTCCTAAAAATTTCAATCTGATTTCAATTTCACCAAAACTTACACACACATTTTGTGAATAAATTATTAGAATTTATGCTGTCATATTCATTCCCTGCCTCTGGCAAGCACACAGTTTGTATTTCTGAGCGCAGTATTTGTTTTCAAATACTCAGTATCGAAAGAAGGTCATTCAATGATTCTATATGATTGACCATGACGTTGGTTATTATCTTGACAGAATTGTATAGTTTTTGCTTTTTAATTGTGGATTGAGCAAATTGTCTCCCCAAATTTGTATGAATTAGGATTCACACAAACGATGTAAATTCTGTAATAAACCTCAGAGAGATTTGTCAAAGTTTTGTACCGTTAGCCATGTTTCCAAGAATCAAAAAATGACACTGATATTGGACAACTGTTCATTTTAACTGTTACTCCATAGCTTTAAAAATAAAATGGCTTTCTTATCAGTAGCTTGAGAATCAGCACAGGCTTTCTGTAATACTTAACACACCCTAGCAAGTAGACAGCATGGGTTTGGAGGAGGAAACCCTAGATAAGTATTTCCTTAAGTATCTCTCCAGGGTAAGAAGCAGGCTGAAAAATGCTTGTTTTATCTTAAGTCTTGTCTCTGTCATTTTATGGGATATAAGGAAATTATTGGAAGTGAAAGATGAAGAAACAGTTCATCAATATCTTTTCTGTGTGACCAAATTCTGGTCTCTTGCCAAAATATTTTGGTCAAATATTGGTAAATGGGAGGCTATGGGTAAATACAAAAACTATTTCCATAGATCGGTGGTTTCCAAACTTGGCTCCTCCCCAGAATCACCTGAGACTGATAAAATCTATCCAGAGTTTCTGGTGTACCCTGGGAGATTCAGAGCAGTAGGTCTGGGTGGGTCCCAGGAAAATGTGTTTTTAAAGTTTCTCAGGTGATTCTAATTAGAACTGGAGACTGCTGCCATACAATTCAAATGAACTTTCTAGACTCATTAATAATGTAACAATATGGAAAAATGTTATTTCTTTAGCAGGAGATTTTTTTTTTTACTCTTTTATGTTACAAGAATATTTGATAAACCACTTGGCAGGGGTGGAATAAATGCACAAGGGAAATGTTTAAGGAACAAAAGATGGTCCTTGGCTACCTTCCAAGCTTTCGTCTTGCCAAATGGGGTACGTAAAAGTGAGGGTATGAGATGAATTATTATGGAGGAAAAAGGAGAATTTTAAAGGTTTTATCCAGGAGGAAAATAGAAGTAAAGGCAAAGTGTTCTTAGTTAAGCTAATTCAGCAGCTGGTACTTAAATATTTACTAAACTTAGTAACTATTGGTGTTTTTACTATTATTACCTCTAACATTGTACATATATGGATAACAGAAGTCAGTAAAAAACTAGGGTCTAAAGATCTAGTTTGGAAGTTACCATTGGCGCTTACATTAGTTAAAACTATAGTCTTCAAGGGGATCAGACCTAACGATGAGCAAAACCCAATGACCCTCATACCCAGTGACCATTGACCCTGCACATGTGAGGCAAAAAGAGAATAAAACAGAAGCATTTCCTCTAGGTAATTTGTTGGAACAATCAAATGTCTTTCTCAATTTGAAGTTGAATCACAACTACCCAGTGTATCCCAAAACAATAATGAATCTTTGAAAATGGCAGAAGACATTTTACAAGGAGTGATTTCATACTTGATTGTCTTCAGGAAGCTAGAGTTAATGGTAGTTTAATAATGATCACTTAAATGTCAAAGGATAGAACAACTGACCCCCTTCTGATAATGCTAATTTCCTTTCTTCCTTCTCCCTGCAACTGAAAGGTACTTTATTTTTAACTATTTAATTATATTTGGAAAATAAGTTACATCAGGTTTTAAACCTCCAATTTATAAACTGCTAACTAGAGCTTAGGTTCTGATTACTATAAACTAGTATATTGAAAATATAATCCTCATGGAACAAAGAATAATATAGATTTTCGCACTTTTACTGAACATTTATCAAGGCTCAGAGGTTCTTTTGGGGGAAAAGGATGCTACCAAAATGGATCATCTTGTGACTCTTGTCATTCACATACTTCAGATTCTTGGAAATACGATTATGGTGTGTTATTTATACACTGTGTGAGTGAACAGAACCTTTGTTTTTAAGACAAAGCAGGGAGCGAAATTATTGTCAAAATAGTGTTTTCTAAGGTGTATTTATTTTTATTTTTAATGGAACAAAATCATTCCCAGATGTGCAATGTTCTCACTATGCCCATTACTTTTTAATGAATCTTACAATAAGATGATTAATTCTATACACTTGGAGG